GATATGTTCCTGATGTTATTTTGGGGCAAGGTAAGCAGATATCTGCATGTAGTAATTTTAATAACTAGGCTGGTTATTACGTTTCCTAGCTCATTTCTGTTAATCTAAGATATTACCTCCTTGCTACTTATCTGCAAAAAATACTGTTGGGCAATGCAAACAACCAGTATACCCAAACTCTGCCAAAAGATGCAGATTTCAAAAAGGAAAAACAAAGAGAGACGTCAAAACAAATGGTGGCAGCCATTGCAGAAACGTTGACTTCGAATTCTCGCCTCGGAATCCTAGGCTTCGTGGCTTCGCCTGGGCAACAGTTAAATAAAAGCGAGTCGTCTAATTTCGCTGCAAGCGGCGACCGAGCGATAAAATCAGTGTTTGTAAACATCGTTTACTCCACCATTTTGAATTCTCAGGTGGGTTACCGCTGTACACCCGTTCGCCGTTCGCCGTTCCCCATTCACCGTTCCCCGTTCCCCGTTCCCCGTTCCCCGTTCCCCGTTCCTCGTTCCTAGTTTTAGTAATATCCGTTTGTGCAGGACGGAGGAATTAACTTTCTTAGTCCATCGATTTTTGAGACAAGCGATGGATGTTTCTGGCGTCGATCGTGTAAATATCTCTGTGCGTAATTATAATGTTCTTTGTTCTTCCGAAAGTTGACGGACACCCGCAGAAGAATACGATTGGGCTTAGGGTTAGGCTCAGACCTTGAAAACACTGACCTCGAAAACGTAGTCTATTACTAGAAAAATCTCAAGGCTCTTGGTACTGCTCCTGTGTAAACAACTCTCTTCGTGTTTTAACCCTGGTCCTGACATGCGAGACATGCGACAACATTTCCGGTGTGTATTTACATTGAAATGTGTCAACAAAATTGTCACAATAGTATTCTGAAGGTGGTTGTAGATGGTTTTAGTGGCCGTAGGTGGTTTTAGGTCACTCCTTGTTTTAGTATTCACGGGTTGTAGGTGGTTGTGGGTGGTTTTAGATAATTTCTTGTTTTAGTATTCACGCAGCTCGTGCAAGAAGCAATGGTTCGGACGAGTTTTTCAGATGAGAGTGACTCGAATGGGAATAATTCAGAACCTTCAGGAGGGTTTGGGCCACGTCCCTATCAACATGAGCCGCTTAGGGGTCACCGAACGATCCTCTCGAAGACAGCACGGAACCGGTTGACAGCGATATCGAACGTCTCAGAAATACATATATCTTGTCTATAATGTTCGCTTAATAAAAGATAATCTATATACAAGGCTAAAAGATTAGGAAAAAATTATTAAAATGTTTAAACCAACGTTTTCGGCTGTTTGCCATCATCAGGGTTGAAAATAATGACCGTCTGTACATACATATATATCTTATGTGATTCCCGATGGGAAAAGTTTGGAGACATAAGAACTAACTTGTTTGTTCAAATTGGGGCGGAATTGTTGGATAATTAGCCCCTCGACGATCCCACGCTTGTGGAATGTTTCTGCTCAGGAGAGAACACGCCAAGTGAAAGAATGTGATGGATTTTCCCGCAGTGTTTTGCAGGTTCAGAGGTGCGAGTAGGATTTGAATGCTCCGCACTACGTACTTTGATTCAGCCGCTTAGTCTTTGTTTGTTGGTTTAATTCTTAAATTTTTATGTCTTAACGCCTCTTTCTTCTCAAATCAAAATAAAAATAATAGACTTCTGTAAAAAGAACTTAGCTATTAATATTCTTTCAAAATGTTTCCTCAGTTGTATGGCTCATGGCCTCTTTAGTCTGATGTCTTTTCTTTCTTTCCCTACTCATTCCTACTTTGAACACCCAGTAAGGCTTCCCCCGATAAAATTGTATAGATCCAAATTATCTTATACACAAACGTACACAATGCATTGCTACTGAGTTTATTGATTTTCAGTTTTGGCAGTACAAGTCAAGTCTTAATTTTACAAAAGTCTTACTTCTTTAGGATTTTAGTCAGCTCATAGCTAACAGCTTCAACTGCCCTGTCGATATGTTCCTCCATGTTGTAGATATGAGGGGAGAATCGCATTCGATTTCCTTTCTTAGTCGACACCCCGATGTTGTGATCTTCATACAACGCGTCATACAACACGGCGTTCAATTCTGGCTCTGCCTCTTCTTGATTCTTTCCTTTATGTTTGCGCCTGCCTGCTCGCCCAGTTCCGACATCGTCTCGAAACTTGATGGTCAGGATACCATGGTACTGGCTCAGTTCCGGCGGCGTTTCTATCACAAACACATTGCCGAGTTGGCGTGCCACTTTGTCCAAGCCGTCCCTCAGTCGCATGGTCAACGCCTTGATTCTTTCCTCGATTCGGTCGAAGCCAATCAGATCCATCAGATCTGCGGTATACAGCAGCCCGATAAGGTTGGTATCGTTTCGTTGGCCGACCATTTCAAACCTGGACGCATCATCTGGCAGTGGGTCACCTGGGAGGGTAGGCGGAGGTTGCATCTCGCCATTGTACCCAATATCTTTGGGCCAGAACTTGGGTACACTTTTTTTCTTCATGTACAAGATACCTGTCTCTTTGGGACCTAGGAACCACTTGTGACTCCCTCCGCTGTAGCTGTCACAGTTGATGTCTTTGAGGTCGTGCTTGAATGCACCCCAGCTTTGTGCCCCATCCAAATGGACATGAACATGCTTGTTCTTCGCGTGGATCCTTTCGATCAGGGATTTGGCTGGCAGGCGCATACCGCTTAAGTGAGAGACCTGGATTTTAGATGGAAAAGAAAATTTATTTTTTTTCCTCCATTGTGAACTTTCCAAAACAAATTTCTCAAAGTTAATTCAGTGGATAATAAAATGCTTTCAATTAGGAATTATCGCTTAGAGACGGACAAAGGAAAAAAGGTTGGGCTTTAAGTCTGGTTTTACCTCAAAAGAGACTTTACAATCCTACGGTTGGGCGGCACGTTTGATATTCGACCAGGTAGAATTAGTAAGCTATTTATCCCAGAAACCTTTGACTTTGAATGAGACCCTTACCGATCTTGGTCACACGGGTGGTTTAAGGCGTATGTCATCAAAGCAAAATTTTCATTTTATCTTCCCTTTTCTCGGTGAGGTTTATGCAAACCACAAAAATATCTAACTTAATGAGCTTGGAGTTAGGAAGAGAATCAAAAAGATGTTGAAGCACGGGTTTACTTTGAATGGACGTGACTTGAAAAAAAATTACCATCTGCATATTAATGATCTGGTTTTCTCTGATGTCAATAGTAGTGATATTGAAATGCACATCATTGCGGAACTTGAAATTGATGTATCGCTAGTGTTATTGATACTAACAGAGCTCTTTTTTATTCCAAAAAATGGTATTATTTGCTCGAATTTATTGGCTGGTCCTGGCGACGTTTAAAATTCAGTGTATCCAATCTATGCTCAAGCGAGTCTACAAGCTGTGTGAGGTAAACAATAAACGCTTATAAACCGTCAGCAAAATTGTCGGACGGTAAATATAGAAAAAAAAAAACAAACATTTTTGCACGAAAGCGATATAAGACAACCTTTTCAGAGATTTTCCTTTTTTTGCCATGATCTTAGAGTAACAAACTGAAGCTTTCGGGAATGTACTTTTTTTTGCAGATAGGCTTTGTGTTTTATGAGAATATTAATCGTTTGAAAATCTTCCACAAGGGGGACAAACGTAGAAATTGGTTGAAATGAGCCCAAAGAAAACATCAGAGGTCGAGGATAGAAACTATTTCAACAGATTTAGAATGAAACCGAGTGGCCAGAAAAAACTACGGCTAAACAGACCGTTAGGTAGTCCCATCTATCTGTAAATTGCATGTAAAGCTATGCTGGTAGTCTGCTCGCGAGCTTAAGGACACACCCACCAGAGGTTTTTTCAGTTTCTTTAGCATGAAAAAGCAATCAATATTTTCTCTCTCCATGGATTGGATTCTAGTACAGTAAAGGTGCAGGATACCCCCAAGCACTTGGGCCTCCCTGCGAGTTCGTAAGGATCCTTTTAATTATCCTGGTTGGGGAGAAAGAGTCTATGAGAGTAAAGAAACGTGACAGAGAACACGATAGAATTATCTGCAGTTGATACATCGGCTATTAAAAAGTTTAGAGGGAAAGGGCTGACATACCTCACTGAACGCCACAATACGAGTGCTCTTGTTCACTTTGGAAAGGAACCTCTGAATGATTTTTTCCTCATTTGTTTCCCCTTCTAAGTCGAGCACGACAATGTTGATGTTAGGGAAGCGTGCCTTTCGAATCTTCCAAGCTACGTCACCATTTGTGGGATGATTCTCGTTCCATACCACGACTTCATCTCCGGGTTCGAAATCCATACCGTTATTGATGACTGCATTAGGGTCGGAGCCATTCCTCATGAATGCGATAAGTTTTGGGTCGACATTCAGCTGCTTAGCTATGAGGGCTCTCGCTGCTTGGATGGTGTACACATAAGGCTGGATCCGCTTCTGGATGGAAATATCTCGGTTCCAATCCAACGCCATGGCGTTCATGAGACGTTGAACTGCATCGAAGGTAATGGAAAGGTTGGCTGCGTTAATAGGGACTGTGTCGGCGTAGTCGTCGAAATCGAACATGCTCCGCACAAACCTCCAAAGCTCGTCTTCATCTTGGCAAGTAACGAGAGTGTTGACAATTTCATCGTAGGTTTTCTGGAAGGTAATAAAGGTCTCCCGAGAGATTAGCGCGTGAGAACGATACAAAAATGCCACCTTAAAGGTGGGGCGGTCCTGCGGGGTTATAGCCTTGAATCTGCTCATGTTTGCACAGCTATCTCGAGGTTGCAACGTTTGAGGGTTCTGTCGCTGAACTAACACAATGCTTACGTGATCTAGGAATTTATACAAGCGTCTAGCTACAGACTCACACGGTCACAGCTGTCTGGATTTTAACGAGTAAACCTTTGTTTAATTGTTCTGAGTGAATTGACTAATCTCATGTCATGCCTATATTTGGTCACGGATGATTGACAGCGGGTTTGTTGGCTTAGCAATTTGGGGCTTTTGTATTTTTACCTCAGCATTTATTTGTAATTAGAACACGATACAAAATAGTACTAGCAGCTAGGAACACCTTTGACACCATGGTACACACCATCAAAAACGAAATTTCGTTTTGATTTTGTCAGTACAGAGTGTGGAGTTTTTTAAAATGGACAGACTTACCAGTGATAATGTAATGTTCAGGTGGTCTATAAATCAGTAGGTCACGTGATAGACTTTAAACATTGTTTTCTGGAAAATAACTGAGTCATATGTAAATAAAGCGTACATAGATTAACCAGTTCAGGGATTCAAGAAAGAAATGTAATTAACGAAGTTTTTACTCCTTTATGTCAAGTGTCGTTTCAAAAAAGTTAGTTTTGGCAGAATTCCATGGTTGTTATCCCCGTTGTTATCCGCGTTGTTTGAAACACTTGCAGATAAATATCGCATAAATAGATGTAAACCCAGTCCTGGTAACGAGAACGCTCGCTCGCACGTTTCCGTCATTCAATTATACAGTTTAACCCCGCTAACACAACTCCCAAGGGGGTTATAGTTGACAGGTTGGTGATGAATTTTAATTATACATATGATGCACGATCCTCGCAGTAGAGAGCGCTGTTTATGTAATAGCGAAAATCAGACCTGAAAAAAATCAGGCCTGTACGGGATTCGAACCACTGACCTCTGCGATAGTAGTGTAGCACTCTACCAATTGAGCTAACAAGCCAACTGGGAGCAGGCCGTTAAGTTGATTCGTAATAGACCCGTGATGATAAATCAGATACAATGTATATATGAAGTTCATATATTTTGAACTGCGGTGTTAGATACGTATGATGCACGATCGTGAATCATACGTATCTAATACCGCAGTTTAAAATATATGAACTTCATATATACATTGTATCCAATTTTAATTATCCTGCCAATAATCTAAAAACAATCATGTTTTCACCGTTCTTGCATAATCAACAGTCATGTTGATTATTTTCATGAAGAAAAACCTGGGCTGAGATATCTAGCACAGTAAATGAGGGCATCATTTTTTATCATAGAGAAGGTAAACTACTGACTAAGTAGATTTAAATGCATGTAAACCACTCGGGACTTATTCAACTGTTGTTAGAGAATGACTGTTCCAGGGTACAACACTGTCCTTGTGCGTTAAACGTTTAGCTCGTGTACAAAGCGCCATATACGTGAGATACGGGTGTGAGTCTAAAACGGATCGGGCTTAAACGAAGGAAGACTATGTCACTCAGCATACTTAGATGATCAAGTTATTGTGCTGAAGTTAACAGGATTTTTAATATGGAGGGTCCACTTTGAAATTGGACGACTTAGGAACAATTCAAACCCCTTCCCCAATAATTCTCTAGTTTGAAAGTTCTAATGATTGCTAACACCCCCTCCGAAGATTTATCGGGGCATTCATGTTCTTGTATCTGAGCATAGCCTTCCCATTGAGTTTTCTGTTCGATTGGCTGTCAATGAAAGCACAGTCTCCAATGGTAACTAAAACAAAAACACGTACTTAAACTTTTAAGAGCGTTAAAACCAATGAGTCAATAAAGTATACCTGAAATATCCCTATACACTATTTTCCCGCGCTAAGGTCATCCAAACATCAAAATATAAAAAATATCAACTGATCAGGAGTTTTGCATTGAAATGTATGAACATTCACAATGGTGCTTTTTGTTCTCACTTTGTAGGAGTTCTACTTGCCGATGCAGTCTGGAGGGATTTTAAGTCCAGAAAATTTGGCTGCGATATTTCTTAACTTGCAGGTAACTGAAGTTTCGAATTGATGTAGGCAAAGTTTTTCTCAATTAAAATCATATCATAACAGTTGGAGAACCATGTAAGAAACTCACACCCACACACGCTAAAGATCTTCAGTTGAGTCTGCCAATATAGGATAATTTAGCCTGCTGACATATCTACTTACGTTCCCAGACACTTACAACCTTCACTGCCCTTCTCAATGTTGGTCAATAAACAGCATGAGTGGAGGCAGAGAGGGCGGAAGAACATTATAAACGTTTTTGCTAGAGAAGCGTCCCAACTAATTATGTCTAGGTGTGTAGCTCTTCTACGTGCTGAGTTTGAAATATAGGGATTAATTATTAGAAATTTCCGCAGCCCCCCTCCCCCACCCAAAGAAAATTGTTAGAAACGGTTTTAGCAATCAAATTAGACATCAAATGTTTATTTTGTCACCAGGAATTACTAGAAGTGAATTCAAAGTTCTGCGCAAAGCTGCAGAAAAGTTTGGAAAAATCAGTTGCAAAAGGCGATGAGGTATTGAAGGAGTGTAAGGTTGGCGCATAATGTGTACTTATTGACTGGGTGGGAGGGCCACACGGGAAAATATTTGGCTCGAGGTCATGACGTACAGACCGAGGGCAGCGAGGTCCGTTTGTCATGACTAAGAGCCAAGTATTTTTCTGTCCGGCCCGACCAAAATTAGTCCATAAGCATTCTATCATATGACCACTAAGTTCTAAAAATTTCGAGAACTTGGTTTCAATCTAAATCGGACGCAATAAGTGGGCGCACGCGGGACAACCACAAAAAAGATTCTGCCAAAAACTGTATTCTTGTTTTTTTTAGTCGGAACAAGAAACGCTGCGCGAAACGACTGCACCTTGTGATTCCACAAAATTTTGACCACTGATATGACGAATATCGTTGTCTGTAAAAGTACAGACCACGCTAAACTACTGTCAATATTTTTCAACAGATCATAGCGTGTTAACATAAGAACAAAAGACTGTGCTCAGTCGGGGAGACCCCAACTAAACTGCATTGCCGCTCTTTTCTTAATTAATTTTTACGGCTTTTCATAACTTGTCATTTCAACCAGCGATAATTGCTCCTTGGTAAGGACATATTTTTTCAGGGGGGAGGGGTAGGGGAGAAGTGGGATGAAGGGTATACACTGAGATGCCTTCAGAAGATAACAGCACAAATGTGACATTTGTTGAAAGGCCAAAATTTTTTTTTCTCACAATCTAGCTGTATTTGTAAGTGACTTCTTCTGTTTTTATTACTTTTAGGAATTTTCCAACGTCAACGTTGGAAGCATTTTTTTGGAAAGCGTAGATTTCTTTCAAGCCTACGAAATTTACTGTTCAAAACAGGTAAAATGTCTTCGTATATCCAATTTCTTATTCACGCGACAAACTTATAAATATTGCGTAAGTGACTGTAAAAATCCTACTTGTATTTCATTTGAATGTGGTTCTTTCTTTAATTAGACCACCGCCTCTGCGTTGCTGGAATCCCTTCAGAAGAAAACGGAGCTGCTACGAATATTCTTAAATGTGAGTGGTAACTTGACCTTAATGAAGTCAAATTCCAATGCTTGACAAGTACTTTAATAGCTTTTAAAGTGCTTAGCCTGGTATCAATTAGTCTTCTATTTTGTCTCATAGGATTTAATGGTTATATTTGGTTATTGTTTATTTTAAGGTCACGTGCCGTGAAAATCCAAAGTGTCGCAAAATGGACTTAAACTCTTTTATACTCGCCCCTGTACAACGAATTATGAAGTAAGTTAAAAGTCGATTGGCTGGCAAGTCAATCAGGCAAATGGTTACTTTTTCTTTAACCGAGTCAGTTAATTCGATTGTCCATATGTTCGTTCAGTCCTCATCCTTGCAGTCCGTCGGTCTGTCGGTCCGTCGGTTCGTCGGTCCGTTGGTCCGTTGGTCCGTTGATCCCTCGGTCTGTCAATCAGACCGTCAATCTGTCAGACAGTCTGTTAGGCAGGCAGTCAGCCAGCTCGTCAGTTCGTCGGTCCTTTCCACTCATTTGTCCACCCGTCTATCTTTTAGTCGGTCCTTCGATAATTCATTTAGTCAATCAGTCGATCAGTTAAGCAGAAAGCCACTTATACATTCCTCGATTGATGCAGGTTTGAATTCAGTCAGTCAACAGGTCAATCTCCAATAAGATCTACGTTACTTCTATCTGACCTATCTATCTAATATAGCAGTTTCACCGGGTAGAGCCTGCAATCTGCAGGAATAAATTTTCCCACGGTTTGTATTTCAGATATCCCCTGTTACTAAGTAGAATTTGCAAGGCCACACCACGAAGAAATCAAGACCGAGAGAAGCTTAAAATGGCGCAAAGAAGAATTGAAGAGCAACTGAATAAGATCAACGCGGTAAGCGAACGATTAGAAGCGTGTGATATGATTTATTCTTCGTCTTTGTAAATACGCGCGGACTAAACCGAAGACCACTTTTGAAAGTTGTAATTTATGTTCCTTTTGTCCGCACAAGACGCCCGGTGGAAACAATCTGGCTTGGGGAAACTCAGGTAGTTTTGGTGTTATCAACTTATCGAAATTATCTTGTTACCCCACCGACGCAGTTACATATATAGTGACCAGGGCGGGCTAAATAACAACAAAAAAAAAGATTCTAAAATAAAAATTTTTCTCTCTTTCTTCAAATAAGAACAAGAAACTCATCGAAAAAGAGATTTATTTCCTCACGTTTGTTTCATTTTAAGTTAAGTCCACTATTAGAATTCATGTTTCCGCTTCTTGCCAGAGCGGTCCTGGACTGCTTTTTCCGAACCCGGGGGCTGTTTTCTCGAAGGTTCTGGCTGTTTACTGTGGCCCGTAAAGTTCTTCTGTTTTCATTCAAGATGGTTGTTGGATACAAAAATTTTGAAATGCAATTTTTGCAATTAAACTATAAGCTAATGAAACAGAATGGACTGGGTTAAGGTGCCAGAACCTGCCCCTCTACCCTTGAAATTTTAATGTTAAATTATCGCTTCGGGTTCGCTAGTTACCGGGGCGTTCGAGAGTACGAGCTCCCGCGCCTCACGTACCCAGGGTTTCTCATCTCACCGCCTCCTGGAGTGAGAGAAGAGAGGGGACTGGGGGGGGGGAGAATGAGGTTGGTAAGATTGCGTGAGAGGGCTGTGTGATCATATGTTAAAATATCGATTCTTCTTTCTCTGCAGTTGAACACGGCTGTTGAATCTCGACAAAAGCGATACCGGGCGAGTCAACAACTTGGCCGGTCCGACTCGTTAGATAAACTACAAATGAAGAAAATGGCGTCGGATATTCTAAACTGGACCATAGAAGAAATGGAGCTGCTTATGCATGGTGTATTCCAGGTGATTTTAGGTTCTTTGTTGAATTGCATCTCGCTCGTGATTAACTTGTAGCTTCTCCTTACAGGACCAGTGCATTGTCCCACAAACAGGTGGTGAGAAGTAACAAACTCATCAGTTGGATGGTGTTATTGTGATATATATCATCAAATTCTCCGAGGCATTCATGTTTAGATTTGTATAGTCCAGTGGGAAGAATCATCGAGTAGATCATGAGGGTTAGAGTTAAAGCAGTATTCTATTTTATTACACGACTCGGGCAGTCAGAAGGCCAATAACTAAAATCAACCAATCAAAACGCTCTATTGCCGGTCAATATTCTCTCAGTGTTGGACCGGGCACTGTCCCGAATGGTTCCGAATGGTCCCGAATGGTCCCGAATGATACCGCACTTGTGTCCCTTTGAACTTCAGTCGTATAATAAATCTCTTATTAACCAAGCTTGCTTGGGACCGTACTGGAAGAATATCGGCCCTCGGTCTTTTTTGTACGGACCTCGCTGCGCTCGGTCGGTACTGTCAAGACCTCGGGTCGACATTCTCCCAGTACGGCCCTCGCGCTTGGTTAATAAGATATATTTATATTGAGTGCCTCTTACAATGAAGAAGTAACTGAAAAAAAAGCCCAAAGTCTCAGTTAAAAAAGACACTGGAAAAAAAAAAAACAAATTTATTCCATGTATTGGTTATGCTGTTTGTTGATTAGTTTTGTTGGTTTGATCTTCATAAAGAACATTTTTCTAATTTTCTTCGAAATACGTTCCACTTGACTGTCGAGTTCGGTAAACGAACTTCTCTTAGAATATTTGTTCGTAGTATTCTAGATCACGGAAGGGGATATTGAAACGTATAGAGAGACTTCCGATTGAGTTTCAAAAGTAATCCTGGATTTCTTTGGTTTTGTTTTACTTCGCTCTGTGATTGGTCGTGAAAACATGTGTCACCCTCTCGACCAATGAAATGCAAAACTAAAACCAATCTTACTTCAGTCACGCGCTGCCTATTTTTACTTTGAGTTCTCATTGGTTTAATGATGATGTTCACCTTTTTCCTCATTGATGGTTGTGGTTACTTTGGATTTGGGACTTCTCTTAAATGATTTTCAAGTGATTTCGTTAAAATTGATCATGAATTAAATTGATCTTTTAGAACTTCTTGTAAATAAGTCAAGTATAAGCGGATGACTTTGCAAAGTAGTTCATTGCCTGTATTTCTCTTTGTGCATTAATTTTTTTCTCTCTCCCAGATCACTATACATGAATTTGGTGCGAGCTGGAACAGACGCAGTAGCAAGAAAGCCCTGTCAGTATGCGCACTGTTTTGCGTAAGAGGTCATTCGGAGGTTTGTACACAAACGAAATTTCTACCACTTTGCGGAGCACCCTATAAACATTTTACCACAAGCCACTCAATACTCCTTTTTTCACACGGAAATTGCGGGTTCATGTCATATATTTTGACATCCTCATTTCAGGCACAGCGTGGCAACTTGGTCACCTTAGAAAACACAGCCTAAATATTCAAATTGTTCCTTTGTAATTAAAGTAAATCCTTCCATCATTTATGGTGTCTCTGTCTCCATGTTTTTTCCTATGGCACCATAGTAATGTTTGCGAAAGACGCGGTGGTGTAATTGTAATGGTTTGTGTCTCAAGGTACGAGACCTTGTGTTCTTGGGCAAAACACTTTGCTCTCACTGTGCTTCT